AAATCCTTTCATATCTAGAATCTCATCCATGTCGTCAGGCTGTTTGATACAATTCCTACAATTGTGTAACAATTCCAGGTAAAAAACAAGAGGAATCAGAAAGAAATAGGAATCAGACTGTAAAACAAGTAGTGCAAAGAGCACAGGTGAATATTGACCTTGCTGTGTATTACAACTCTTCAGTCATTCTCCTTGACCTAATTAACCTTCAAAGGTTCTCTTGTTTTCCTACCTCCCTTTTCAAATACTAACAAACCTAACTATATTCTAATTCAATCTGTGAGTTAGCCGTGCCCTAACTTAGATCATCCCAGAGGTTGTTTCAGGGTTCAATCTGTTAGTTAGCCGTGTCCTAACTTAGATCAGCCCAGAGGTTGTTTCAGGGTTCAATCTGTGAGTTAGCCATGCCCTGACTTAGATCAGCCCAGAGGTTGTTTCAGGGTTTGAAGACCATTTGAGGGTTTTCATCTTTGGTTTAGTTTAACTAACATTTAATCTTGATGTTCATTGAAGGGTTCAACCAGATCGTCTTCAGGTGGACAAAGTTTGTCTCAAACTAGCAGCCAGGTTGAGCAGAACACTTCAAGAGAATCTGACACAACAGCAAACAAAGCRTYAAGAACATCAACAAACAACACTRCATTATCTACAAGGGATACTACTCGCCCATCAAGAGAACCTGGAATCAAACTAAGTACAAGCAAACATACGATAGGAACTAATACAACCAGCATTACACCCAGCATTACACCAAACACAACAACACATAAAACAATAGGTACAAACACCAACAGGAGCACAGCACCTAGAACTATACTACCAAGCAACCAAGGAATACACATGCCGTCAGACACTAAGAGAATGGCGATACTGAGAAATATACTACCAAGCAACCAAGGGATGACGAACATGACTGGTAAAACAACTATGAGCTTTACAAGTATGTACATCTTGTTATAGCTGATATTATTTTACTCTTGTACGCTAGGTTTTGAATTCTTGACAAGTATGTACATCTCGTTGTAGCTGATATTATTTTACTCTTGTACGCTAGGTTTTGAATTCTCAGTTTCTCATGTTCATGTGTTTCAGTGAAGGTGTGGAATTTCAAAKTGCATTGAAGAAATTTTGCATTCTTTACTTTACTTATCAAATTGAGCTGATCCTCRCAGTATAACAAGCAACTTATGCAGCTGCTAATTGAAAAACTCAGAAAAAATTCTGAGTCTTCATTCTTTACTTCATTGTTGGTCATTATTTGTAAATTKTTTAAATGATTATGTTGTTGGGAATCAAGGATAGTGTAACAGAAGAACCCTTACCTCTCACCTCTGGGTCTCTACTTCAATAATTGCTGGACTCAGCTTTACAAGTGAAGAAAGGTTGYTGGGTCTCTCCCTTCAATCAAGGATTTTCTCTTATTTATCTCTGGTTTACACCCTCCATAAAACTTAACACATGAATTTTCGATTTCAACTGTGAGCTTATAAGCTGTGCCTGGATCAGCTTCATAGTTTGTTTAAGAGCATCATTGACAACATGTGAACGCTGAGTGATAAAAAACAACAACATGATATGGAACACCTTTCTTTGTTTCAGGAGCCAACAACAGTTGTTCTGTTCCAGACAGTACTGTTAGTATTGGCTGGTCAAACTCTCCAATGATAAACCATACCCTTGATGACAGCACGGCATCCATCATACAAGCAAGTACCATGAGAAAGAGAACCACGGCAGGACTGAGTATGTCTTGGTGCCGTACACTAATAATCTGATTATACTGTTACTGGGATGTGGTTGATTGTTC